TGCACTGTACATACAGAAACATCAAAGGCCCCATCACCAGCTCACTCCAGTTCAATGCTTTTGGTTCACTGCCGCTTAAGCTGTTGGCTGGAGCACTCCAGACCTTCCTGAAAGAACGGGATAAAGCCCAACACTGCAGCCATCCAACCCATTAGTTCGTTTTCTGGATCAGCCTCATGAAAAGGGGTGTTTAAAGTGATTTGTGAATTTTCCCCCTGCACTCCAAATGGCAAATCCTTTTCTACCTCCACGCCCCATCCCTACGAGTGTCCAAGGCCAGAGCTGGACAGGGCTTGGAGCAACCTGGGATAGTGGAAGGTGTCCCTGCCCATGGCAGGGGTAGAATGAGCTGGTCTTTAAAGTCTCTTCCCACCCAAACCATTCCCCGATTCTCTGATAAAAGCCCCATGAAAACAGGCAGGAACAAACAAATCCAGGCTATTTTTAAGTGACAAGGCCTCTGTCTCACTGGTGCCACTGACATAATTTCCATTGGTTTGATTTGATTTGTATTTTGGTTGGACAAAAACCAACATCAAATCGCTGTCACGTTATTGACAGTCCTCAAAACACCCAACCCAGCTCTTCTAGTTATAACACATTTCTCATAAAGAAGGTAATTTCTGTGTATTTCAGATTTGGATTTGTAGCTGCCATCTCTAGAAAGCCTCTGGTTTTCATCAATGTGCAACATCTTTTAGTCAGACAGTTTAAACCCCATGAATTTGACAACAGTAGGAGAGGCTAAAACGAAGGTTTTAGGGCTGTGCCAAATGCCTGTTGGCCAAGAATCCTGAGTAAATATCCCAGCTGCTAAAAAGCCCAAGGGGGAATGCTCCAGTTTGAAATGTCTCTGTAACTCTTCTTGGGAACTACGAGGTACTTTTTTTTGGTCAGGCCATCAACCTTCCCTCTTCCAAGGGATCACAGTGAAAACTCCCAACTCCACAAAACTCCATTAAAATGGCTGAGATCAGGACACAGCCCTGACTGCTGCCACAAACACACACAAAATCTGGGCAATCAACACATATTAAGGTCACTGATGTGGAACACAGTTTTAAGACCAATCCTTGCCACCAAAAGATTCCTGCCAAAAGCTACCCCAAACCAAAAGATTATTGCCTATGAGCTTAAGACTTTGATCAAAATAACATTATCAAGCTAAGTAACTTCAGAGTGCAAGAGCTTGGCTTGAAATAAGAGCAAAGTTTTATTTTAACAAAAAAACCCCTAAAGTTTGCTGGTTAATTATTCAGTGAGTTTGAAAGAAGCTGATGAGCACTGGGAGGTATGAGGGCTGCACCCTGATGGAGCTGGGCTGGGAGGAGGAACATAAACCTTCTGCTAAGAAAATTATTAATTAAAGCAAGCTCAATTCCAGGATAAAAGGAGGGGGGGGGTTTCCAACTGAACATCCACAGCTCAAAATTATGGGCAAAATCCCACACTGAATCTTAAGTAATCTGCAGAGAAAAGTGTGACTCCAGCTTTGCGCTGGAGTTAAGATCACACACAGGGAACCACAATCTTGCATTAAGGCAGCAATTAATGTTGAGTTTTGGGAATTCTTACACCAGTTTTAGTGGTTTTATCTATTTGAAAAATGCAACCTGTTTCCTTATGAAACCCTGTTACAAGTACCATGTTTGTTTTTTTTTCCTAGCAGTGGCCAACAGTAAACACTTAAAGAAAGAGGATCTAAGTAATTATAATGTGACTTTTTCCCAGTCAAACCCTTTTCAGCTTCTGATAATCGCCAATTTGTGATTTACTGACCCAGAATTTGTAGCTTATCACAGTAGTCACCAGTGGGCTTAAGTTAACCACGATTTCTCCTCTAAGACGTTCAGCTACGTGGAACTTTTCAGCAGCAAGACAGGGATGAACCCTCACAAACGAAGGCAAAAACTGATCTACAAATCACAAATGTTACAAAAACATGAAAAACTTACCAGTCTTATGTCAGGCAATGAAACAAACAGAGCAAGTCAAATATCCCTGAAGAACTGTGTAAACAGAGCAAATAATTAATGAAAGTTCTAACTTATGGCTTGATTGGAGCCTGGAGCCAGACCCTGCAAATAAAGCTCCTCTCTATTAGTAAACTAGAACAGCTGACTTTCATGAACAGCAAAACAGAAATAAAACCCCAACAAATTAAGAGGATTTCTTTCAACAAGTCAACATGTATAAATCAGAACTAGGGAACAGCCCAACCTGAGCAGCTCTGTACAGAATCACACAATGATTTAGGTCAGAGGAGACCCCTGGAGGTCTCTAATCCAACCCTGTCCAGTTGAGTTTTGAATATCCCCAAGGATGGGAATTCTACTGCCTTTCTGGGTTGTTGTTCTGCCACTCTGAGTAGGAAAATATTTCTCTTTATATTCATCTGGGATTTTCTGTGATGAAACTTTAGCCCACTGCCCCTCACAACTTTGCTGTGCCCCTCTGAGTCACAAAGTAATCCTGAGTTGGAAGGGACCCGTGAGGATCACTGAAGTCCAACTCCTGACTCTGCACAGGCCTCACCCAATTAAAACCAACCTATTAAGATGGTCAAAAACCAAAATACAGGAGGTCCCCAGAGCCAGCCGTGGACAGAGCCAGCTCTTACCATCTCCCTCCACGTAATTTGGGCTCCGACCCTCACATCTCCTGCCCACACAAGGGTCCCATAAACGCTGGAGAGAAGGGTCTAATCCCTTTCCATGACCTGCTGAAGGCTTTTAATGAGGTCCCTTAATTGCTGCAAGGGTGTACTGCTGACTGACAGGCAACACCGAGTAATGGGATTCCACTATAATCACACATGTGTTCGTAGAGCATTCAGAAGATCAACAGAGACAGGTCTGCTGATTTTTATCAACTCATAATGCTTTTGCAAACGTTTGGGATCTCACACTTCAGGAGAAAACGGTGGGGGAATTAAAAAAAAAAACAATCTATAAAAGAAGTGGAGGTAGAAATTGTTGTTTTAAGAAGACGGTAAAAGACAACAACTCAAGTATAAGGACTTTATGAGGGGAAAAAATAACAGCCAGAAGTTATCCTACGAAGTTAAAAGCAACCTGTGCCCACCATAGAGGAGGAGCATCTTAAATAATTTCTTCTCTATTCACAGAACAAAAAGGTAGATCTGGTCTGCCACCAGACCCACTTCAAGGGAACCCACATGAGGAACAAACTGCATAACTCCAGACTGGCTACAACAAACCACAACTGAACTGCAATGCTATAAAAATGAGGCTTAATTTCCAAGGAAGTGCAGAGACAGAAAGACAAAGAAGAATCCCATAACATGGGAAAAACCCAGAAGAAAGGCTCAGTTCCAGGAGACACTCTCCACCAGTTCTTTCACTTACTCCAGATCACGTTCACTTCTCCTGGTACCATCACACCAGCACCTGTTCCACCATGGCTAATTAATGTCAAACCAAAAGGTGATCCAACAACTGCAAACTGCTCACTGTGGTCTTCCAAAAAGAAGGAAACAGCCTTGCACAAACACCCTGGGAACAGCTGAGGTCTCGACTCCTGCCTCGTACCTCTCGATGCACAAAGAAAAGCCAAAGCAGACAGAAACACCCAACGACTGACACCACAGAACCAAGTGTCTGATTCCCCAGTTATTTGTTACTTCCTTTTGGTAGGATGATGATGTGGGAAAGCAGAAAACTGGGATTTTACCAGGAAGCTGCAGCCAAGGAGGATCTGCCCCTCTCTCCAGTCACTCACCAGGGGATTGTTTACCTGTTTAACCTTCAGAGAGGGTGTTGGTGCATTGTGTCAGCGGCTTCCTGACAGCGACAAACGCAACTAAGACCAGATAATTCTACATTTGATGGGACAGACACACAGTTCCAGCGGTGTTACTCTGATCCTGCATCACATGAACCTTTAGTTGGGATAAACAAGTCCTAATGCTATTTTCATACTCCCCTATTGCTTTAAAAAGGCAACGCCTCAAACAATGACTCTTTTTTTCTTTTACAGATACTATAGTAAGCAATATTTCTTTCAAAATTGCAGCTGTCCAACACTTTGAGTCTGTTCTTTTTAAAATGAAACAGCCAGAACAAATGGTGGTGGCAAGCCCAACGTAAAGGGGTCATCGATTATTAAAATCTCCTTACTATAAATCGTGGATGTTGCTTGTCAGCTGGGTGTGTGACTGTGGAATGAATAAGTAGGTAAAATTCCACTAAGGCTCGAGTTTGCTCGATCATTCTGCTGTGCAAAAATAGAAATAAAAGCTCTCCCCGTCCTTTCACTCCTTAGTACCAAAACATTCACACGGAGCAGTAAGAGAAGAACTGCAGTGGTGCAACGTTGCTGATCCCAGTCCTGCCTTTCCTGAGTCCGCCCTGGTGCTACTTATGAATTTGCCTACTGGAGAAATGCAATAAAACAGGGGAAAAAAAAAAAAAAAAAAGACGGTTTCATTCTGCTTCAGTGATCTATATCCAAGGAAAAGCACATAAATTTTCCAATGAAATCCGTAAGTGAGAGTCGAGGCCAAGCCCTACCTATATATCTTCAAAGGTACAGAGACAAAGAGGTGCCAACCCGGTGCCCTCTGAAAGCACAAAATCTCCTCCCCACTCGGGTCAGCAGTTTTTCCCCAGATGAGCAGATGTAAAGCTGATCTGGTCAGCCTGTGCCTGGAGGGGTTTGGGCTGGCCAAAAACCTGCTGAGCAGCCACATTTTAGGGTTCCACGATGCTCTCTGAGAGCTCGGAGTGAGGAAGGGATGAGCACAAGGCGAGTTAAGAGCAACTGCCCTTCGTTCCCTCTGCCTCCAAAGCGGGAGAGAAAAGGGAAGCCCATCCCTCAGGACTGAGCTGTTCTCCTCTTTTTTTGTTTTCTTTTGTTTTTTTTTTAAGCTGTTCCCACATAAACTGGGAAGATAAAACGGAATGTCGAGGAAACCCTGTGGAGATTTTTATACACCTCTCGTACAAAAATTTCCACGGGTTTAATTTTTTTTTTTTTTCCTTGTAAACGTTTTTTTTTTTCCTTGCCCGTCTCTAACACTTCCCGTGCTGTTTCCATCAAAATGTTTCCTCTTACCGGCAGCAACATATCATTTTATCAGGATGCCAGGAGATCATTTCCACACAATGCTAGCAGATGTAATTTTCTTAGATGCACACACAGTTCATCATTTAGATACTAAGATGACAAGGTGATCGCAGGGTGACTCTGCAATGCAAGTCTGCTGTTTGGTATTTGGAATTCTCAAATGATAAAAAAAAGACTTATCAAATATAAATATCTTTAAGAAAAAAGTAACAAAAGTGCTACATATGATCAAGGAAAACAATTCCATTAGTTCCTGCTACTTAAAGTAGGTTTGCTTTACAAATATTACCACATCCATTTATCAGTATGGCTTCCAATTATTAATTAAATTGCTCGTAGCAGTATAGCTTTCTCACACCTTAACAAAGACAGAGTAAAGAGAACACAAAACATTCACACCCCATTTCTCAGGTAAGAGATCCTCCTGCCTCTAAACAAACAAAATTAAGTTCATATTTAGGAGAATATTTATGCTCTGACGGTTTTCTCTAGCAAAGGTCAGGTGTCAAAAGTTCTCCAATAACCTTTCAGGCTACTCAGGACGTAGGCATTGGGTTACACAGACGTGTAAAAAATCCACTCACCCATTTTTATGCCCTTAACAACCTTCCTGGAAAACATTGCTTTCGAAAGTGGCAAAGTGGAGAGGGGAGGAGGGCGGGGACAGAGAAGGCGAGAGGAGGAATAAAAGGTGAAATAGTTAATGACAGATCAATAAGAGTCTAGACCTCTTCTGAGCAGGCACTGCCAGCCATGCCAAAAAGGAATAGTGGTTCTGAGAAGTGGACTGTTGTCCATTAGACATTCAGCTCATTTGTCATTTGATCCCAGGCTGGGCTTCAAACCCATGGTCCCAGAGGCAGAAGGCAGCACTTCTCCACTAAGCCACGCAGCTTGTGAGAGCAGAGGATGTCTGTGTTGAATGTGTGAAACGCCAACCGAAAATGTGGGAATGTGTTTCCAATGGACATTCTCAGCACAGCACCCAAAAGTAGATCAAGTCACTGTAATGACCAGTGAGGCACGGCTTATTGCAGCTGGAAATCATTTATTCCCAGGCTGAAGTGGGGGTTCTAAGTGTTCTTTTTACTCTCTGTTGATGCTCCCAGTGTGGTGTCCATCGACCCTGTGCCACTACCTCAGCTTGCATCCTTTCAGTCTCAGGGAAGGGAAAGCGTACGGACTATTGTTTCAACACGACCTCTACGGTTATCCAAGATTTTTTTTTTTAAGTGTAGCCTAAGACTTGGAATCGAGGGCTGTCTAAAATACCTGGAAGCACTTTGAATGCTAAGACAGAGCAGCAAGATTTTTTTGTTTGTTTGTTTGCTTTTTTTGTGTGTTTTTTTTTGTTGTTTTTTTTTGTTTTTTTGTTTTTTTTTCTCTAGCCACTTGGGGCCGGGAGAGGGGAGGTTGGTTGGTTGATTGATTATTTATTGGGAATTAATACTGAGAGAGTATATGCAAAGGCTGAGGGCACCATGCCATCTTCACAGAACAAGACCCTAACAGCTAAACTGACGTACAAGAAACTGCAAAGTTATACTGTAAGAACACATATTAAGGACCGAGGAAAGTCTGCTAAGGTGCTACGTCTAAAACTAAGTTACTTCTTGCTTTGACCCTCCCCTCTCTTCGTATCAGTCGTCGTCGAGAGCCTCTGTCTTGATCTCGTTGGCTCCTTGCCGGGCCAGCGCCAGGATGGTGTGGTTGACTGCTGCCATCTCCACGGCTAAGGAAATGGGGTCTTGGTGGTCACTATGGCTAGTGCTGTCATCCTGGGAATGTGGGAAGGAGGAGAGAGAAGCGGGGTTATTCCACAGGCAGGAAATCGGGGTGGGGGTAACACCGGTGCGTCCAGCAAGGAGCTGCGGGGCGGGGGGGACTGCTGGTTATGGGGGGAGGAAGCGAATTTACAAAGTGGGTTTAGGATTGGTTTTTCCCTCACTGTGCAGACAAAGGAGTGGGGGACCCAGCTTCCAAAGGAAATATTAGATTATAAAGTTAGGAGCGATGCACAAAGTCAAGAAACCAAATGAAGACAGGAATCATGAGGCACTGCACAAATTCATGGCTGTATTTGGAACAGACCGTTCTGGTCACCCCAAGGGCATCCCTGCCCGTGGCAGGGGGTTGGAACAAGAGGAGCTTTAAGGTCCCTTCCAACCCAAACCACTCTGGGGTTTCTCTTTAGAAGCCACAACAGAACTTGAACAGGCAGAGAGAAGAACATCCCAGGGGAAGAGGCAGGAGGTGGCTTCTTCACAAGGAGAGGCCAAACAGACTCAGGTCCTCCAGTTTGGGAAAGAAACGGCTGATGGTTGATACGGTAAAGGTTTATGACAAATAACTGGGAAATAGAGAACAGTTGTTCATGGTTTCTTTATGATTTCATAAGCAAAGGCACCCATTGGAACGTGTTCCAAAGCACTGCTTCACTTATCACAGTTCAGTTTGGGATTCACTCATTTTTAAGGTCAGACAGAAGTGAAAATGGTTTTAAAAAGCAGGGGTTAAAAAAACATCCAGGGAAAATTAGCCTACTAAAAAGCAGGGAAAACGAAAGTGGATGCATTGCCTGGCTCAGGAAGCCTCTCAAAACAACTGACTCCCACAAGCTCAAAGCTGCTAAAATAAAGTAATTCTAGATGTACTTTAAAAGGATTTTTTTCTTTAAATATTACTACTGACCTTGCTCAGAGCCAGGATACAAACCCAGCCTAACCCAGTATCCTGTGAAGACACTGAATTCGCACAGGTATAAGGAAAAAGATGCTGAAAAACTCCTGGGAAACAAAGGGAATGACTGTGGGGGACTAGAACCACCATAATTCAAATAGGGAACTTGGGGTAAAATCATGTTTTCCCCTCTTTAAAACAGGGTACTAATAGTCATCACACTGTGATCTTGCCAGTTTTATAATTATTGTTAATTACAGAAAGGAAATGATACACATTTCTCAGTTTCCCAACAGCCTTTAAGAGGTGAACTTGTGAGATTTAAAATTTAAAGTGTGCATAAGGTATCTTTAAATGAAGATGACGGATGGCAAATGTTGAGGAGGACAAAAAAACCACCAGGATTTGGTAAAATCCTGAGGTTATTTAAAAGAATGCATTAATTTACAACAGGTGTCTGGTAAACACTGTGATGTGCACACACCATAAGGGCCTCTCAGTAATCTGCAGAAATACAGAGCCCTTAATTCTGGAGTTTTAGGCACTTTGTTAGAATTTGAATGAACTTTGTCTCTTAAATTTTATGAGAGTTTCAGTGTTGTTGTGGAAAACCGAATTTCTGGTTTTAACAGCTCAGGGATGTTAAATGGTCATCAGGAGAACTTCCATTTAATCCTCTTTGCTGCTAATGCCCAATTACAGCTCACTGAGGAGCCCAGCCAGATTACTGAGAAATGTCATTTTTAAGGCCTCTAAACAAAGATCTTTAAATGTTAATAACCAATTTATCACTCTTTTCAAAGTATTCTGATTAACGCACGGAAGAAAAACACAGCTGGGGAGTTTACACCACGTTCCACCTCAGCGTTCCAGTCCTCTTTCTGACTGACAGGGAATTAATCTGTGCTCAGGGCACTTTCTAAATATTTCATGACAGTCACAGAGCAGCTTCCAGAGCCAGAAAAGTTGGTTCCACCAAATCTGCTGGTGATGACCTATAAAGAGGGCCTTAATACCCATCAGCAGCAGAGCAGCTGGGGATGCCTGTGCCAGATATTCCTCGTCCTGGGCCACAGCCAAGTGTGTGAGGGACTCATTCCAGGACACTCAAGCAGCAATTACACTCCACCAGCAGCTTTTGGAGAGGGAGAGTTGCTTAACTATCCCCCAGAAGAGTCAGTGGGAAGTGATGTGCCCACCCCAGGCGCTGGGGCAGCAAGGAATCATCTCATCTCAAAATTAAGAGAGGAAACTGGTGGAGTCCAGTGGTGCCAAGCACACACAGCCCTGGGGGGGGTTTGGCCAACACTGAAGGAAAAATGGGAAGGGGGTGCAATACCTGTCAGGAAGGTGTGTGAAGGAAGGGTCACCAACTTTAGGGTAGGTGAGGGCTCAGAGTGCGGGAGGGGGTATTCTTTTGCTAGAGAATTTAAAAAAGAAGTTGCTGTCAAGGGTTAAAAACAACCAAGAAAAGAGAGAATAGGCAAGAATTAAAATTCAAAAACGAACCAAAAAAAAAAAAAGACAGGTAATAAGCAAACAATCCAAATAGTGGCACATTGCTGCAGAACAACAGGGAACAGGCCAAATAAAGCTCAGACTTCAGTTAATCAAATCCTTTCCCCCCCACCCTTCACCCTTTGTCTGTCAGTGTCTTAGGGATGGATCCTGAGATGCTCCTGAAAGGTTCCCCCCCTGAGGGAGCTCAGGACCTTCCAGGAGGGTACTCAGTGCTCACTGTCCTGCTGGGGAAGGCTGACACAGGGAATATAAAGTGCCCTGGGTGCGGTGTCTGGGGTCAGATCAGCAGCTCACAAGTTAGAGCTGGAGCCCAAGTTAGAACAGAAAACTGGGCGCCTCTTGCACCTATTCTTTATTTCTGCAAGAATTGCCCAGTTTTCAGGGAAGCTTGTTGGTGCCTGATCTACAGGAGCAACTGTTTAGGACCTGTACAATCTCCCGAGGGAGGGTGACAATAACAGAGCCAAGGAGGGCACACGGTGTGGTGGGCACTGGGTGAGCTGACACTCTCCCCACGTGTATCATACACTGCATGTGGTGTGAGGGGTGTAACTTGCTTGTTTGGAGCAGATCCTCCTGTCTTCTTCTACCTTCTCTGCTTCTCGGCCTCCCTCTGAACATCTTCCCTCCTCCTCCCCGTTGCGGACTTGCCAAGTGTCCTGTGGGGAGGCAACAAATCCACGGGGGGTGAACGCTGGACACTCACCCTTCCCCCACCAAAATGACACAAAACCAAATGAAAAACAAGAGATCCTTTTCAAAGGGTCAAGGGCCTCTTCAGGTGAGAGTGAATCTCCTGGTTCTCACCTGCTCTGAGTAGTCATTGCCATCCACGTCGTCGCTGTTAGAATGACCTCCTGGGCTCTGTACATCTATTCCATGGCTCTCCAGGATTGCTGCTTCTTCGAAAAAAGCAAATGGATCCCTAATTTATCTGATGCATTGGGGTAATTTAAAGTAACCAGGTGGTTTTGTTTTTTTTTTTTCCCAAGGAGTTGGAATAACTGGAGGAACAGAGTTAGCCTCTTCCTCTTCAGTGTTTGGGAGCACATGCACAAACACAGTTTTGCCTGAAATTCTTCCCTGCCCAATGAACAGATTTGTTTGAGAGTGAGAATCCTTGTTTTCCAGCCAGTCCTATTAGAAATTAGCTTGATTTCTAATGTACTGGAGTGGCAAAGGCATTCCCTGTAGCTCTTCCCTCACACTTTGGACTGGCAGGACTTGAGGGGGGGCAGGGAGGGTCTGCAAAGAGATGGAGGAAATTTTGAAGGCACTTAAGGGATTTAAAAACACACACATGCATCTTCCAGTAGGATCCATGCATCTAAAGCTCCCTCTGGTTCTTTCAAATCTCTTTCCAGTCCTTCTGCCCAAACAGTACAGACACAACTCCCACTCCACCCACCCTGGGCTGAGTTTGATAATTTATTCCCCCCAGTCTCTTCTAGAAGCAATTTCTCATTAAAAAAAAAAAAAAATCAGGTTAAATGTCAGTAATGCATTAAATGATGCAAAAAGAATTTTTTTCTTATGCAGAAAAAAAGCAAAAATACAGAGCATTTGAAATAAATAAAAATCCTGGTAATAGGCAGGTATGGATCTCTGTTCATCCATATGCTGCAAAATTAACTCTGCATAAAGTAAGGGCATAAAATTTGGCATGAATGGCAGAAGACTGTGGAATCCTGGCCACTGAGGTGAGTTTATTCTCCTTGGAAAGTCTTTTCCACATTAGAAGGTCTCCTTCTTACAAGTTCAGAGTCACTTCTGATTTCCTTATGATCAGCTTCTCACACTAAAAACCTGCAGGGTTCACTCTGAAGTGACTTTTGTTTTATCCTGATCATCAAGAAAAAAATATTACTTTGTTCCAGCCACTTGTCACTGTGGAAAAACTTTGGAAAGCTGGAAGGAGCAGAGGTATAACCAGAATAAACAGCATGGCAAGGCTGTGAACCCACTAACGTCTCAGTCTCCCTTATTCACAATTTTGAGGTCCTATTTTAGATTTTCTGGGTACCCAAAGGAGCCTGAGCTCCTCCTGAAATACAACTCCAACCACACACTTCTCCCTTTGCTTTTTAAAGCTGATCTTCCAGCAGAACTCTGTAACAGCACCGCTTTCCCTGCGCTGACGACGGGGACTCCACAAATCCAACTCCTGCGCGTATTCCACGAAAAAATCTGGACCAGCAAGAGGCTGATTCTCATAATTCCTCCCCATTTCCACAGGGACTGTCAGAAGGCCCATATTCTGATGTAATTGTCACCTCTCCCAACAAGCCCAGCCCCTGCAAAGAGGCTCTGTGATACATTACCGATATTGGCTCTCCTCTTGATCTCCTTCCTCCTGTTGGCAAACCAGTTGTACACCTTGAGGGAGGTGACTCGCTCCAAATCCGACAACTTTTTTCCTAGGGAAGGAACAGAAATAAAAATAAAAGGCCCTCAGATATTTGTCCCCCCTCCTCCCCATCCCTGGAAGTACCCAAGGCCAGGTTGGAGGGCGCCTGGAGCAAGTTAGGAGAGTGGGAGGTGTCCCTGCTCCGTGGCAGGGCGTTGGAATGAGATGGGCTTTAATGTCCCTTCCAACTCAAACCATTCTGTGATTTTCCAGGAGATAAACCCCTGAAACACAGACAGCACTGAAAAGTTATTGTAACAGAGAATAAAGTGAATTTTATGTGAATCAAAGTCCTGTGTGTGTCCAGGTGTTACAACACTAAATGCCAAATATCTCTTTAAAAACAAAAAAAGCCTTTCTTTTTTCTTCTTTCTTTTTTTTTTTTTTTTTTTTTTTTAATATCTGAAATACAGGAATTTGTTTGAAGCTTCAACCAAGTGCAGAGGTGTGGGAGAAGGGAGGGCTGCTTTTCTAGTTCGACCACGAAACTGGGATTCCAAAACCTCCAATTCAATTCACAGCCCTGCCACAAACCCCCTTTCCCTTGGGCTCCTTCTCTTCCCCTGTGCCACGAGGATACAGTTCAATGACGTGCTTTCTTCGGCAGAAAAATGAAGGAAGAGATTTTTTTTTTTTTGTCACTCCCCTGCAATCTGCTTTCCTTTCTCTCAACCCCCAGCGCTCATCACACCCTTTCCCAGTTGTGCCAGGACACTCATGATCTCTTGGGAGAATGGGGGGGGGTGGATGTTGGAAACCACATCACTGGATTTTTAACACTTAAACCAGCAAAAAAAATTCCTGACGACCACAAGGGAGCTGTGGAAAACTACTCCTTTTTTCTGGTCATCAGTATAAAAGAGGGGAGACTTGGAAGGATTCAGCATCACATCATGGAAATCTCTTCAGTTGGCCTTGTCCCTGTATCAAATACTCCACGTTGCTGCATCCTCAGTCCTCTGCAGCCTCCTTAGGGATGAGACTCCCCTGCTTCTGACTCTTTCTCCAAGTTTATTTTGTTCAGCATACAAAGCACCTGTGTAATTGCAGCAATCTGCACACTAAAGTGAGTTAGGAGAGATGAGACAAGTGAAAGAAAGAAAGATCTGGAACCTGATAGCTGTGCTGGTGCCTAATTCTCTACATCAGCACCGCTGACTGTATTTCACTGCTCCTGAAACAGGACTGTGTTTCAGCAGCTTGTTCCAAGCCGCTCCACAAACCAGCAGGAATCAAATCCCAACCTCTTTGGTGCTCTACCCAATACATCTTTCTGCTCCCACAGCCAAAAGACAAGAGCAAACACATAAAAGCTGCCAGAAGGGAAATTTTCAGTAGGTATTAAGAAAAAGTTCTTTGCCATGAGAGTGCTCAACCTTGAGGAACAGGGGCCAGAGGCAGGAAAATCTCCAGTTTTGGAGAACCTGAATGAGGAAAAGCTGGTCCTGCCTGACCAGATGATCTCCAGAGGTCACTTCCAGCCTAAACTGGTCTGATTCTGTGCTATCCTGGGACTGTCCCATCAACCTGAAAGGACAACGAGGTGGGGATCACTCTCTTCTCCCAGGTAACATGGGGTGGGACGGCAGGAAAATGCCCTCAAATCCCCCCAGGAGAGGTTCAGGTTGGATATTGGGAACTATTTCTTCAGCAAAAGGGTTGTCCAGCCCTGGCACAGATGCCCAGGGCAGGGGTGGAATCCCCATCCCTGGAGGGATTTCAAATCCCTGTGGATGTGGCACTTGGGGACACGGACCAGTGGTGGCCTTGGCAGTGCTGGGGGGAATGGTTGGACTGGAGGGGACTCAGAGGGTTTTTCCATCCTAAATAATTCTGTGATTTCATGTTCATGACTCAGGCCTCAGCTTCCCGTTCATTAATTTTTATTCTGGTTATATAAAATCTAAATATATCCAAAACACCAGGTCTGACATCTATGTAAATGTTTGGTTAGCAAACCTAAGCAAAGGCAGGTGCATCCACTAACACCACAATGAATATTCATGCTCCTCTCCCGGTCTGACTTCTCCAGGAACAGGGAAAATGCAGTTTGTTGACCCAAATAAAAGGTCCTCAATAAATACCCACCTTCTAATCCGAGATCCCTGCCTGGAAGCTGTGAAGAAAACTGAAAGCCAGGCAAGATGAGCTCCTTTCAAGGACCTGCCGTGTATCAGGTCGGACTCGACGATCTTGGCAGGTCTTTTCACACTAAACAATTCTATGCTTTTTAAGTCTGATCTCCTGCAAACGTCAGTCTGAACCCAGGGTGTTGAAATCAAATTGCTTTTTTGGGAAGGACACCAGGAGCAGCTCCTCACCTGGTTTCTGGATAACTGCATTACAGGCATTGGCAATTTCTTCTCTCTTTGCCTCGTCTGGGTATTGATTCTCATTGAAGTAACTGCAAGGAGGGGAAAAAAAAAACACCACTTTTTTTTTTTTCAGAAATCAGAGCGTGAAAGTTCCAAAGCAGCTCCACTAAGAGGTGTCAACTGCGAATTTATACACCAGTCCTAGAGAGGTACCCCAGATACAGTAAATTTTATGAATAACATCAGCTTGCACTTGCATCCCCATGGAGTGGAGGAAACTTCCCAAATAAATTAATATGAACTCAGCATGTGCAGTGTCACCTCAGCATTTGGAGATACAACAAATTAAGACAATTCCATGGATATCAGAGTCAAGACAGTGAAGCACCATGTCCTGGACACGACAAACCTTGGTCTTTGGTTATTATCTTTTTTTTACTCCACCTTAGGAAGAAGGATTCACAAATCTGGTGAAAATAAATGTTCACCATTTATTTTTGATCCCTGGGTTAATATATCCACATCCATACATACTTATCCACATGTATTACCCACAGACACACAAATACTGCAATACTTCAGACAGCTACGTGGAGATGGCACAAAATTACACAGGAAGATTTCCAGAGTCAGGTTATTTTTTTCCCTCAGAACACCACACTGAGTACAGCACATTTCCAACAGCATTTTTCTCCAGAATAATTGTGATTTTTATTGTACTTTATGCGCAGTAAACATCCCACAGAAGTTAAAACTGTTTCCTCTTTCACTCCATTTAACTGCTTTACAAATTTTAATGAATTGATTTACATTCTACAGAGCTTATCAGATCTGCATTAAAAAACCAACAAAACGTCCTGTTTACTTCAATGGACTCTGATAATCACACCATAAGCAGGGACTACTACTGGGGTTTTTTCCTGTAGGTTATCCATAATATACATAACACTTAATATATAACACATAATCCCAGGAATTCTTTTATCAGCTTTGATCAGCAGCAGGTTCAGCTGTTGGACAGCTGCTCCAGATTGGAAAATAAGATATTCCCTTTAATTGTCGATCACTTGGTAGCAGGAGATTCAGGCATATTGAGGCAATTATTATTTTCCATGCTCATATTCCACCCTTCCAGTGGATTGGCCCCAGCCCAGTCACTTTCTATGGAAATCTGGATTCTGTTCCACACAGCAACTGCTTCTGTCCCACTTTCTGAACACTCACTTTGGATTTCAGGCACTGCTTCTTCATCCCACTGCTCCCAGGGTTATTTACACTCCCAGCTATGCCCACAAACAGGGGACTATTCCAGACTTGCTACTCAGTAAGAGAAATCCCACATCAGCCCCGTGAGTTGCTGCATTTAATGCACTTCCAGGGGATCTGCTGGCTTAGGGAGCAAATGGAACCACAGGGATAGTTCCATTTCTCTAAATAAATGGAATAGTCCCACCTTCTCTAAATGAAGGGCAGCTCATGTCCACAGACCCACGTGGGCCTTGGAGGCAACACATTCCCACAGGAACGGCCACTGCTCCCTCCCTGCACCGCTGAGCTGCGCTTAGGGAGGGAATTTGGAGGCTGGCACAGGTTGCCCAGAGAAGCTGTAGATGCCCCTGGATCCCTGGAAGTGTCCAAGGCCAGGTTGGACGGGGCTTGGAGCAACCTGGGCTAGTGGAAGGTGTCAGGGTTGGAACTGGATGGGCTTTAAGGTCCCCTCCAACCCAAACCATTCTGGGATTCTGTGATAAAGGACAATCAGAATCCATTTAGAGGGATTTTTATGGAAGCTGGGGATGTGATTCAGAGTGAACCCCCTTGTTTCCTAAACACCTTCTCAGAGTGGAGCTGGATGAGGCCGGATCCAGTCTTGGGCTCTGGAGCCAGGCTGGGAGAGCTGGGGGGGTTCACCTGGAGAAGAGAAGAATCCAGGGAGACCTTGAAGCCCCTTCCAGAGCCTAAAGGGGCTCCAGGAGAGCTGGAGAGGGACTGGGGACAAGGGATGGAGGGACAGGACACAGGGAATGGCTTCCCACTGCCAGAGGGCAGGGAGAGATGGGAGATTGGGAAGGAATTGCTGGCTGTGAGGGTGGTGAGGCCCTGGCACAGGTTGCCCAGAGAAGCTGTGGCTGCCCCTGGATCCCTGGAAGTGTCCAAGGCCAGGTTTGCTCTAAAGGATTGGGAGCTTGCTGAAGGTGTAAGAGTTGAGAGCTTGTCAGCCAGCACTGCTGAGACCTGGGGCTTGTTGTTGGAGGTGGGAACTTGTTAAGATTTTGTTAAAGTTATTTGTAAAATCTGAGAACTTGCCAGGCAACGCTTCTACTACTACACAAGGGGACAGTGGCTGGAATTAAGGTGACTATCTAATAAAAGGATGAGTTCCCTGACACATGGACTGGTGTCTTTGTTCAACCAGATGAGACTTCGTAACAAACATCACACCCTCTGGACATGGTCGTTTTTTAAAGCACATTCTCCCCTCTTCCATATCAATCATCCTTCCATGATGTCAGCCTTTGAAGTGACTGAAGCGTGGGTCTATCCTAAAGTGCAAATTTCTGTTCAAAGGGGTCGTGCTCTGCACAAAGGTGCATTTTCTGGAGGATGAAAAACTTGGGAAACGGAGCAGAAAATGCTTTTTCCAGCAGTCAGTGATGGAACAGAAGCTCAGGATCCCAGTTCAGCTGCCTCATGCCAGAATCTCAGCTCTCACACCTACTGAGCATTCCACTGTCTGCCCAGAGCCAAGAATTATTTCCTCTTGGAAGTGCTGTGGGATAAAGGGAACATCAAGACATCACAGCTGAAAGCTGCTGTACTATTATTTACATGGATATACTGCATGACCTCGGGTCCTAATCATGAATCCAGGTCAACACCACGTGTACAAAAATCAGCTCAGCCCATTTTGGGAGCCACAACAGCAGTTTTATGGACTCCCTTTGCTGAACAGAGAAGTTGTGGAGTCTCCTTCTCTGGAGATGTTCAAACCCCACCTGGACGTGATCCCGTGCAACCTGTTCTAGTGAACCTGCTTTAGCAGGGAAACTGGACCTGATGATTCCAGGGGTCCTTTCCAACCCCAACCATTCTCTGAAGGTTATTTATTTCACTTATAGGTACCTGGCAAAAGCCAAGAGCAAACACCACAAAAGAAACCCCATAAAATTAGAAAACCTGGTGGATCTACATGAAGATGCCCTAAAAGCAGAAGGTGAAGCCCTGACATCATCACATATTATGTCTCTACATCATTTGTGGTCACAAAGCTGCTGGACAACGCCTAATATTTATGGAAAAACTTGCAAAACACATAAAATTAAGAATCAGTTTATACTTGAAGTGCCCTTTCTGATGTTGATGCAAGAACCTGAGAGACCAATTAATGCAGCAAAGACAACACAAGAGCCCTGAGTGATCCTCCTCTTGGCACATAACTCAACACCGTCCCTTTTGCAAGCCTCAGCCAGGCTCTCCCTGGCACCAGCAAAGCAGCTCATGTTTTCCAACCACAACAAAACTTAAGCTCACACTTACAGTTCCCTGGGATAACAGGAAATGTCCCTGTGATGGAACTAACTTCCAGAACTGGGCAAAGAACGAGGCCCCTCTGCTGGCAAAGGAGGAAGTTTTGTGCAGTCCAATCATTTTTGTGATTTAGGAACATCTTACAACTGAAGTAAAACCTACCTGATTAGATCAAGATGCATTTTTTTTTTGATATTCTGAGACACTTTTCTTCAAATTCTAAGGCAAATCTCTTCTCTAAACGTTTTTACAAGATAAACATTATTCCCATTTGAAACTGTAAATCCCTGCTCTACGAAACCACAGCAAAAATCTGAGAAGTTTTCAGGCAGCTCCTGTGGTCAGTAAGATGTTTTCATGGATATCCCAAAAAAGGAAGCTGGGAAGGCACTTTCCAGACTGGTTTGGGTTGGAAGGGACCTTAAGGATCATCCAGTTCCACCCCCTGCCATGGGCAGGGACACCTTCCACTAGCCCAGGTTGCTCATCACTGACTATTCTGTTTGCTCATGGAGAATTTGTGAAAACTCTGTGGCTTTTTTGACTACAGTTCTTCTAGCAGGCAGTAAATTAATTAATCTGCCTCCAGTTCTCTTTCTTATCAGCCAGGTAGACAGGGGAAGAATGCAGGATGTCTGAATTTCTCTTCACAGCTACAAACCTCAGCCTGTTCACAGTCTGAAAAGTTCCTGAAAGCTACAGATGAAAAATCTGAAGAGATATGAACTTAAAAGGAAGGGGGAAAAAAAAAAAAGAGCAGGCACAACTAACTCTGCAAAGGCACACTGCTTTCTAGACAAAGGGCAGCTGTCAGCTGAATACCTTCCATGAAGAAACCAAATGATCTCTTTTGTAGAAAATGACAGTGGAGGATTAAAATGAAAAGTGGCCAAATAATTTACATGAGATGAGAATCCAGATGATGGTAAAGAATGTAGATATCCTTGAAGCGGTTTCATTTCAATAACACTGAAGCCCAGAAAAATTGCAGATTCAGAGAAACCCTCTTTTCTTTCAGGGATAATGTGCTTAGGACAATGATGGAGAGGGAATCCATCTCAGCCCCAGGCTCTGTAATGGAAGCAAACACCTCCCCCCCCCCCCCAATCTTTTCCAAGGTGCCCCTCTCTGAATTCCTGCAGGAGCTGCCAATCTTTCTTTCTGTTGCTTCTGTTCTCCAGGCTGAGGTATCAGATGCATTAAGCACGTTCCTGATAATCCACAGTGGAAGTTTTGCTGGTTTGGGATCAGCTCTGCAAGTGCCAGGGAAGGGTCTGGAACAACCTGAGCTATGGAGTGTTGGAAGGATGGGCGGGTTTGGAGCTTTTCCAACCAGAGAAACCCCCCGGAACGGATCCAAGGACCCCAAGCTGGGGAAATGCTTAGCTCACAGCACGACACAGTGGTTAAAAGCTGCCAAGGGGGAGAGGTTCAAATGCGTTGCAGGGTAACAATTTACGTCAGTGGCACTCTCAGGTGAGCTCACGCAGGTGTGTGGACACACTGATCATTTACCTTGCAAATAACGGGAGGCAGGACACGCAGATGGGTGTTTATTGAC